AGGAGGTACCGGGGGGTGCCCGGCGGTACCGGGGGGTCTCAGGGATGCAGGAGGTACCGGGGGGTGCCCGGCGGTACCGGGGGGTCACAGGGATGTAGGAGGTACCGGGGGGTGCCCGGCGGTACCGGAGCCCCGGGCTGCAACAGGCGGCCGGGCCGGAGCAGCGAGGCCGGGCAGGGCGGTCCCGGTCCCGGTCCAGGTGCTGGTCCGGATCCCGGTCTGGATGCGGGTCCCGGTCCCGGTGCCGTGGGGGGGGGGCGGCACTTGCTCCCGCCCGGGCGGGACAGGAGGCGGCTCCGGTACCGGTGCCGGCCGCGCCGGGACCCGCCGGGACCGGCCCGAACCGCGGGGGGGGAGCGGGGCCGTTCCGGGCCTCGGGGCCGCTCGGGACCGTTCGGGTCTATTCGGGACCACTCGGGGCCTCCCGGCGTTCGGGGCCGCTCGAGGCCATTCGGGGTCGCTCGGGGTCATTCGGGGCGGTTCGGGGCCGCTCGGGGCGGTTCTGGCCCGCTCGGGGCAGTTCGGGTCCATTCGGGATCATTCGGGGAGGTTCGGGACCGCTCGGGGCCATTCGGGATCATTCGGGGAGGTTCGGGATCGCTCGGGTCCATTCGGGGTCATTCGGGGAGGTTCGGGTCCATTCGGGGTCATTCGGGGCGGTTCGGGGCCATTCGGGGTCATTCGGGGAGGTTCGGGACCGCTCGGGGACACTCGGGATCATTCGGGTCAGTTCGTGTCCGCTCGGGACCATTCGGGGTCATTCGGGACGGTTCGGGGCCGCTCGGGGCAGTTCGGGACCATTCGGGGCCGCTCGGGGCCGTTCGGGTCAGTTCGTGGCCGCTCGGGGCCGTGCCGAACCGCTCGGACCCGTTCGGGGCCGTTCGTGTCCGCTCGGGGGCTCCGCCCCCCTCCGTGGGTCGCCCCCCGTGGCCGCAGGGGTCACGGGGGTCGTGGGGGCCCCGTCCCCGCGCGGGGGGACCCGGCGGCAGCGCCGCTGCCCTCGGTGGGCGCCCGCCCCGCGGGGGGCCGGGACCGGGGGGAACGGAGCACCCAGGGGTGACGGAGCACCCAGGGGTGACGGAGCACCCGGGGGGGGAACGGAGCACCCGGGGGTGACGGAGCACCCGGGGGGGGAACGGAGCACCCAGGGGTGACGGAGCACCCAGGGGTGACGCAGTGCTCGTGGGTAATGCAGTGCTCTTGGGTAACCAGATAATGCAGCACCCAGGGGTGACTGAGTGCCCGTGGGTTTGGGCTTTGCAGGGAGCAGCCGGCTGGTTCGTCCCGCGGGGCTCCGCTGCGCCCGGTGCCGTCCGCGCCATCCTGCGCAGCGCCCGCTTCCCACCGGAGCCTCCGTTGGGCCCCGCTTCTGCTCCTGGAGGAATTCTGGGTTTCCCTGGATCACCCGGCTCAGGGCGCAGGGGACGGGACGAGGGAGCCGAGGGAGCCCGTGGGAGCCGAGGGAGCCTGTGGGAGCCGAGGGAACCCAAGGGAGCCGACGGAGCCCCATGGGAGCTGAGGGAGCCTGTGGGAGCCGAGGGAGCCTGTGGGAGCCGAGGGAGCCCCATGGGAGCTGAGGGAGCCCCGTGGGAGCCGAGGGAACCCAAGGGAGCTGAGGGAGCCTGTGGGAGCCGAGGGAACCCATGGGAGCCGAGGGAGCCCCATGGAAGCCGAGGGAGCCCCATGGGAGCCGAGGGAGCCCCGTGGGAGCCGAGGGAGCCCCGTGGGAGCCGAGGGAGCCCCATGGGAGCTGAGGGAGCCCCGTGGGAGCCGAGGGAGCCCCATAGGAGCTGAGGGAGCCCAAGGGAGCTGAGGGAGCCTCATGGGAGCCGAGGGAACCCGTGGGAGCCGAGGGAGCCCC